CCAAAGTATTTCAGGATCCTCGCCGGTGCTACGGAATTCGTGGACTGCGCCGATATTTTCGGACTCAGGCTTGAGTCAGAAGTAGAACGGAGCACTTATAGGTTGCCTCCCTTATGCCACGATGTTGATCCGTCGTCTAAACCACCTTTTATCAATTTACCAAGAAGTAGTGTAGAACCATCTAGTCCGTCTGGTTGTTCGTTTCCGACCACATCTGCGACTGGAGCAAATATCTAAAGGATGCTACCTACCCTGACATCTGAAGCGTGCTTACCACACTGTACAGAGTTCGCCTGTCTCAGCACGTGGTCTCTACAGGACAGACTTCTGTGGACGGTGATACCCATATTAGGGTGACCATAATCTCTTAAGCTTCAGAAGTGGGTCAAAGTGCCACCTGAACAGTCAGACTTGTGTAGAGTCATAATCACGCTGAGCCGGGAATGCAGACTGGCCAGTAGGTGCCACAGAGGTGGAAATTCAGCAATTAATTCAAGATAATGCTCGCTCAGAGGATTTGATAATTTACACAAACGGTTCAGTGTCAAGAGGCAAAAGAAGTGCTTGGGGCTTCTTAGCAAAAGTTAATGGTCGACGTTTGGTGCAGGAGAGCCTAGCATATGATACCACAACATCCAGCTGGGGAAGATCAGAACAGGTATGCTTCGTGCAGAGTGGCATGCTTTGCTGTGGAGGTCACAGGTGATGAGTATTGTCTGGATTTTTTCGCCGGATAACGACTGGCTGGCTCTGCACAACTTGGTGGAATACTGATTTATGATAAGGCAGACGTGGTTAGTGCCTTCTGGGAGAGCGTGTACAGTTTGGAGGAGCAGATGGATCACCAGTCTGGTGAGATTGATGCAGTGGGGAGTGACGAGAGGTTCTGGCAGGTGCTCGAATCTCAGAGGATAGGCAAGAGGGACGTTTAATCAGAATGCTACTGGCACCATTAGTATCGGAACTCTTCGCTGGCTGCTGAAGATGGGGACAGAGCGCTTATGGGAATGCCCCGAGTGCTATGATGTCTGTTCTTGAATCAAATCAAATCAATCTCTTGAGCTGAAAACAGGACATCCCACTAATATTTTTAGCTGATTATTATAAAAGTCGTCCCCATGTGGGATGCAATTTTTTGTTATTTCTCTCAAATGTGCATCCTTTAAGAGTTGACTAATGAGGAATTTCATTCAAAATCTGAGTGTGCTTGCCTGATAGGCAAGGAACAAACAGTCTGCACACAACTAGGCCAGATCTGTAAAATGGATGTGCAAGCAAAAAAATAAGTAGTGGAAAAAGACTGAAGTCCATAAGTGGACGAACAACTAAAGCTTTCTGCTGGAGTTGACAACTGATAAATGACAACTAGTGAACAGAAGAAGAAGAAGAAGTAGAAGCTGGGAGGGTCTTAATCACCAATGTTGAACCCAGACATCTAAAAAATCCATAGTGGATAGATAAAGATGAGAATAAATAGGCAAGCGATCACCCAGTCTCTGTTGGTAAAACCACCCTTCAAAATGTTTCCAGACAAATCATTCCAGCCAAACTAAGATCTGTTTTTCCAATTTACATCCACACTGAACTGCAATCATTCCTATTTAGGTCCACACTGGACTGCAGACATTACAATTTACATCCACACTGAACTGCAATCATTCCTATTTAGGTCCACACTGGACTGCAGACATTACAATTTACATCCACACTGGACTGCAATCATTCCTGTTTAGGTCAACACTGGACTGCAATAGTTCCAATTTATATCCACACTGGACCAAAATTAATCCTATTTAAGTCCACACTGGGCTGCAATAATTCCCATTTACATCCACACTAGGCTGCAATCATTCCCATTTATGCCCACACTAGACTGCAATTATTCCTATTTATGTCCAAACAGGACTGCAATCATTCCCATTTATGTCTACACAGGTCTGAAATAATTTCCATGTATGTCCACAATAGACTGCAATCATTTCTACTTATGCCCACACTGGACTGCAATCATTCCTATTTATGTCTACACTGGATTGTAATCATTCATATTTATGTCCACAATGGATTGCAATAATTTATATTTATGTCCACACTGGATTGCAATAATTCCTATTTATGCCCACAGTGGACTGCAATAATTCCTATTTATGCCCACAGTGGACTGCAATCATTCCTATTTATGCCCACACTGGACTGCAATCATTCCTATTTATGCCCACATTGGACTGCAATCATTCCTATTTATGCCCACACTGGACTGCAATCATTCCTATTTATGCCCACACTGGACTGCAGTCACCCTATTTATGCCCAAACTGGACTGCAATCATTCCTATTTACGTCCACACTGGACTGCAATCATTCCTATTGTGTCTATTTATTATGGTCTTGTGTCCAGACTGAGATTTGTAAATCTCAGGAATACTGGTAAACCTTCAGGTAGCAGTTTGGAGGGGACAAACTGGTTGATTGAACAAAATCCTAATTTATGTTGTTTATTGCCTGGTCTGTCCCTCAGGGGATATGTTAAAATGTAATCACAAAGTAAACATAACAACTGCGATAATAGTCTCATTCCATTTAACAGCAATCAAAGAAATGTGCCTTCAATGACACTGTAATCCTAAGACTTCTTTATCAAGACTCACACCACAAATCATTAATATTTAAGTCCAATTTCCCCCCACATCTTTCTCTTTTATTTGGTAAACACATCAGTCCCCTCCTTTCTTCCATTGCATTCCAAGATGTAACCTGTTTGCCTGACACATTTTACAGTCAGGTATTCTCAGATGATAGGCTGTGCCATGCTGTAGAATTTAGAACTGTGGCATTGATGTTTGTCTTTCACATTCTTTAAAGTAAATCCCCAAAATGGCAAACATCATTATTTTAATCACTGATAAAAGAAAATGAATGTATTATATATTTTAAAATGTCTTCCCAGCTAATTAAATTCTTTCATAAAATAAAATGAAATCCATCACTCAAGCGCCCCCCCCCCCCCCCCCAGAAGTGCAAGACAAAAACAGAAAACCACGACACTGGCCTATAATCTGGTATCAGTGAGATGACAAAAGAAGAAGAAGAAAATTAGTCAGAATTAAAGACTTCTGATACACTTAGTCACATGATACCAATGAAATTGTTCTTGCTATTGTGGTTAAAAAAATTTATTATTGCCAGCAGCTTCCTCCAACATCAAATTTCAGAAAAGTAATTTGTCACTGTTACAACAGAGGACAGGGGGTAGTTTTCTTCCCAAAACAGAAAGGCCCGCACAAGGAATATGGCTTAGGGTGGTGGAGATAGGGGATCATGAGTCTAACGAATTAGGGCCGCATGGCTGGTGCTGTTGCCATGGACTGTGCAGGTCAGAATGTTTAATTCTCCCCCCCCCTCCCTCCAACTCCAGTACTTAATTGCGGGTTGAACATGGGTCTTCCGCACAAGAGATGACGTAAAAGCTCGGATAGCCGCTCCTCAAGGAATTTGAGTTCATGATTAAATAGAAGAGTGCCGAACTGGTTTGTAAAGTATTCCTCTTCCTGTTTACCCTTCTGCTCTCTCTAATGCTCTCAGCTGTGTTTTTCATGAGACAATATTATGTCATAATTTCCAATATGACACTAGCTAGTTCATGATGTGAAGAAGTTCTTCGATCAGGCCATTTCCCTGTTTCAGCATAGGTTGCACCTTTCTGTCTTCCAGACAATGGTTTAAACCTACAGTCAAATGCTCTTTCATGCAGGTATGTATGTTGCAGTGACTTTCTTGCAGGTCTGTACGTTGTAGTGACTTCTTTCATGCAGGTATGTATGTTGTAGTGACTTCTAGTATAGACTCGGTTCTTACTCCCAAATTTTACTATCAAGAATTCTCAGCAATAGTCATGTATGTATGTATCCGTCAACCATCAGCCTCTAAGGACCATGCAGCGGTACTGCTGGTTTTGAGGACCAGTGTCTGCTGTGACTGTAAAGTCCAATAGAGGAGTGGCAGTCACTGCCATATAGTTTCTATAAGACACTGATACTCTATTATACTGAGGTTGGTCTTCTCTCAGATTTCTTCTTTGTAGTTTACTGTGTTTGGCGTCTAGCAAAGCAAAGTACGTCTTTCATATACTCTATTTATAACACCAGAGAAGCAAAGTCAAGTCAAGGGACTTTTTTCCCACTCTTAGTGTCTCAGGCATATAGGGCTAGATCCACATGTTTATACACCAATCAGCACTCAACGGTGTATATATTTATCATCCTTGCACCTTTGAGATTAATTACCACAAATTGGTCACAATGCATATAGAGGCACCAGCTAAGAGATATCAGTTTCCACCCACTTTGCTTGGGAGGTAACAAGTAAAACTCTCATGGCTTACATACTGAAAACAAATTTTTACACAACTAAATTATTACCTCTACTGATCTCAGATATCATCTAACAATTTCAACCAATCTTTCTAATGTCTCTAACCCAAAAGTGGCCAACAAACTACTTGATTCTGAACTCAAATTTCTCTTCCTCAGGTTTGGTCTCACAGTCCATGCCAACTGGCGTTGGTTGTTATGTTTATCTACAGCTGTTCCTCCATGTGACAGTATCAAAGCTCTCTGCATCTGCCTCTCTTTCCTTTCAGTTGTCTTATTGTCAGAACATATTTAAATTTACCCTTTCTAAAAATATTCTCAATGAATGTTGACTTTATTGGTTGGCACTATTCCATCTCTGAGGTGACAGTGTCATACTGTGCTATAGGGAGGCATGAGAACCGCAGCAAGACTTGCTCATGCTAAAATAATAAGTTATCTTACATTTAATACCAGATCCAAGTGCTAAAACACAATGTTGTTTTCAATAAAAAATATTCTCAGTTCCTTCTCCAAGACACTGAAGTCAAAAGCAAACATATTCCATCTTTCACAATCAATGAATATATATCGCCCAGACATTTGTATCACAAAATTAAGATGGTGAAAAGTTCTTCCTTGCAGCTATTGTTATCTCTTCTTTGTTTGTTTAGGGGCAGGGGCATTCTCCATTCCTGTGATGTAACGTCGTGGAATCTTGTACTTATCTGCAAGAAAAAAACATGACGATTTACATTTCAAATCACTTCCTGACATCAGCAACAAAGTGAAGAGATTACTAGAGTTTTTCTTCTTCAGTTCTTTATTCTTCAACTGAGCATAGAACTTCCACACACAAAAAAGTTTTGTCATCAAGCGTCTTCTGCTACTAGCTTTCTCCAAATATGTGCTTCATGATGAAATTCACTAAGGACTACTAATCAATAATTTTCAAGGCTGTTCCAAAATGTTTAAAAAATCGTCTTTTAAGTCTGCTGGTTGTGTGTGCCTTGGGTAGTGCACAGTCTCCTTGCTTCATGCCTCACACACATTATATCACATAAAAAAAGATGACAGATGTGAAACAAGCGTAAAATATGAAAATTGACCTACAAGTAAATTTGCAACCAAGTTTGTCGCGTTTTACTGAATGAAAACTTGAGTACAGATGATATATAAAAAACAAATGTAACAATGTGAATGATATATGAAAAATAAACGTGACTATGAAAACTGAATGAGAACTTTACTAAAGATGATATATGAAACACAAATGTAACAATATGAAAACAGACCTATAAGTAAATTTGCAACAAAGCTGATCTGGTTTCCCTGAATGAGAACTTGGGCTCCCTTATTTTTCTGCTCAGGTTGCACCACAGAACAGCTGCAAGCCACTGACTTCTGCACAAGCTTGGAGAATGCTTTCACATCAATGCCATAATCCTCCAGGTTATCAACGATGGTCACCTGCAGACAGTAAACAATCAATAACAAGGTTTTCTTAATCCATCCTTGACCATGCCAACCAAACCTACAACTGATCAGGAAATGTCATGGGAAGTAAAGGTGACCAGGAAGATGCTAATCTTATAACACATGGTGGATCATTCATCCTCATCATCAGCATGAATTTCCACTTCTGCTGTTAAGTATCATGGGAAAGAACAGTTTGCTTGATGGCCAGCAGTGGCTATTGTCATTCTGTGTCAATGGAAGTAAAGTAAAAGTAAAGATCCATTTTCATGCCTTAGGCACATCAGGCATTTGGGAAAAGCATCATATATTTTTAAAGACCAATCAGCACTAGCTGGGTACAGTGGTCAGCATTATGCCGGCCTTCTTTACTTCCCCAGGACTGTGTCAATGTAGAAGGTCTTTAATGTCATCAGTCTACTTTCTCTTGCTTTCACATCAGACATTTTCATGTATAGCACCTGTGCTGGTAGTTGTTGTTCTGGCTGCATTCTTACTAGATAACCAAAACAATTCTCAATGAATTGGCAAATCCCAGATACCATGTTCAACTTTCCAGGAAGTTAGAATTCTTCTTCCTGTCCATGCCAGGTGGCACTGGTAGTCATGTCTATACATAACCTTTTGTCTTATGTATTTTCAATCAACCCTGACACAGATGTTTTAATTAGAACACTTATAAAGCCAGATCATATACCATCCTGTTGTTCTATGTTAATTAGAACACTCATAAAACTAGACCATGTAACCATCCTGTTGTTCTATGTGGGTAAAGATGTTTGCTAAAGATATGCAGCGAATGACAACTGAAATGCAGGAGGGCATGTCAACAGAAGAGGTGAAAATAGAAATAGATGAATTAATTTATAAAGTAGGTTCCAGGTGCCCAGTCTAGGATGTCAGGTGGGGGGATTGACCTACTACTCTCTAACAAGCATAAAGTAAAAGGTTTTTTTAAAAATTGGATATGTTGTTCCAGAAAGTGCAGATATTGCAGCCTAGCTGTACACCACAAAATAACGTGCCAGCTGCCCTTTTAAGGGTGAATTTCAATGAAGAAGAAGAAAAGTGGAAATTCTAGACATATTAAGTGAATAAAATAAGCCAAAGAAGATAGAAAGATAAATGTGGAAATTTTAAACAGCAGGCCTAAGCTAGTGACAAACAGCAGTAGTTACAATTCCATGCCTAAGAATGCGAGTAGTTCTGTGTCTCTTTTGTTGAGCTTCAAAACAAAATTATGCATTAAAAAGGGTTAAGCAAGAAAAACAAATTAAATCCCAGAGGTCGAATCTACATAACTGTAAACAGACCACCAGGTGTCAAGGTTACTGAATAATCTATTCCCGAGAAACATGACCAAGGGAAAAGAAAAGGATAAAATACCTTTCTACCATGACAAAACCCGTAACCTTCATTTCAAACAATTGTCAGATATTAATGTTCTCCCCTTCCCCCCTAAACACTGTAATATAACAGCTGGGAAGGTCTTTCCATCATCATCATGTGCCCTGTCAACCTGCCTACAGATCACTGGTTGCCTGGACGGCCATGCCATCTTTTCAGCCCATCCAGCATAATCTCTTTTGGTCTGCCCCTACCCCTCTTTTCACTGATCTTACCAGTTGTCCCAATGTTTTCCAATGCCTCTCTTCTCATTATGTGGCCAAAGAACAGCATTTGTCTACTTCTTATTATTGTATATAGAGATCTAAACTCTTTAACCTTTTTCAAACAATCATTGTTAGTTACTCTGGCCGTCCAAAGTATTAGTAACATTCATCTCAGAAACCACAACTCTGTTGCTTCTAAACACACCACAGTGTGTCTAACGCAGATATGGGGAACGAGTATGCACCGGAATAAGTGGATCACTCCGCAGCTGGACAGAGAAGGGCACCCAATTGTCCTGACAGTTGCAAATTACTGTCAAAGGTGCAGGTTTAAAAGATTTGAGACATGATTAATTTTTCCTTTTAATTTCAGATAAGAATTTTAAGTATGGAAGATGGTTCTCCTTGGCTAGTCAGTTGAGCTTCCATGATCATCATCATCATGTAGCAGGTCCTTTGCAGAAAGTCGCTCTCATCACAGTCTGGCTGAAAGAAAATTGGTCTCTCGCCAGTTCTCCTGCCTCATGTACTTTCATTCTCAAGGAGTCACTTATATCCTGTGCCCATCTTCGTGTCGGTGCTTCCATGATATTCTATGAAATTATGTACTGGTACTATGCCTACCATTGTTCTTAGTTCTTTGTTGGTGACTTGGTCTCAGCTTATTCCCCCCCCACCACCACCACCTTTCTTATACATGTAATCTCACAGGTATTATTTGTCCTATACCACCCTAAAATGGCAAACCAAACATGCTGGAAAGATAGACATAATTATCTGGGTACCTTCTTCGATGATGCTCTCATGCTGACTTCTAGTTTTATAGGGTCCAATTTTCCTTTCTTAATAACAGGAGGATCCGATCCAGCACTGATTGCAATGCCAGCCTGCATCTTACCCACGACCCTGTGGAGAGAAATAAAGTGTCAATTATCTCAACAAAGCATAAGTGTCAGTGAGAGAAGCTGATAACACACTCTGGCTCAATATTACTGGATTTAAACTAAATGCAGGCGTGGCCATTATATTTTAAAAAGAATCAATGTTTTGTAACTTATGATATCTTGTCTCCCTCGTCTCTTAAATGCATATTATTTCTACAAATGTGGCTTATCTGCTATCAGACAGCTGGTTCCTCACCTCTCAGGCAGATGTGCTCTGACTTCTGAAGGAAACATCCCAAATTAGTCAACATGTACAACATGCTTGTCAGAAAAGTAGCGGGTCTGAGCGCCACAACAAGATGAATCTTGGAACTGAAAAATGCTTAGGAAGACACCTCCATATTTTTGATGTTCATCTTCACTGAGCTTCCCTATAACAGTATGAGCTTCCCTGTAACAGTTCAGTGATTTCATTGTTGTGACAGTTTACTAAAGCAAACATAATACAGCAGTGAATGTAACAAGCAAACCTGTTGATAACTTGCTCCCAGTTCATACGGTCCAAGTCACCCTCAGATGGCTTCAGTATAATGTGAGCCAGTATAGGATCTAATGTTACCAGTCTGTGAAAGACAAACACAATACAGTCACTCAGTGTATTAAAAAAACAACAGATAAAAGTCCCTTTTCATGTCAGTGGCACACTGAACATATGGTGAGTGAGTGAAACACAAAACACAAACAAAGCAATCTTGTCATGCCTTTGACCACTTGCTGCTTGACTTATATCTTTATAAACTGATGGGCACATTGGAAGCTGCCATGGTGGTGGGGCTAGATACTTGCCTACAAATCCAAAGGTTATGGGTTCAGCTCCTGACAGAACCAGACTTTTGTTTTTTTCCAGAAATGACCTTGGCTCCCAGGTTGACCTAGCTTTAAATGGGTACCAGGTAAATTCCTGGGAAGTAAAGGTGGTCGGCATGATGTTGACCACATCACTCAAAGACTGCTGATTGGTCTATATAGGTCTAGCCCTATATGGGCACTATACCTGAAGGCGGGAAAAAGGGTCCTTTCTTTACTAATGAGCACATCAATGGGTGATGTGATTAACATCTGGCCAGCAGCCATTACTTCCCAGAACATTACCTGCGACCCATTTGAGGCCGGATCCAACTGCAAGCCAAGGTCAATTTAAAAACTAAAAAAATCTGCCTGGATGCAGATTGGATTCCTAGACCAGGCAAACATCTAGCCACTAAGCTACTGTGACTCCCAGGATATATGATAAAAGTCAAAGGACCCCTTTTTTTTTTACACCAGAGGTGCATCGAACACAGGACGCTAAAGCACTTAAGACCAAGACTTGGACAAATGATAAGGAAAGGGGGGTGGGGGGTGGGGGGGGGGGGGGGGGTAAATAGTGCAGTTAATGAGGTACAAGTTAGACAAATGAGTTTTGCATACTTCTAACATGTGCAGATGAGGATACTAATTTCTTCCTAATTCAGACGCAAAGTCTAAATATATAAATCAGAGCAGAGAGGCACGAAAACCATGTAGGTTCCCATACACTGCATCAACAAATACAGCATGGGAGCCGTTAGCGTAAACACAATTAGAAACATGCTTGGAGAAGACTAGAGAATTTGTGATGTATATGCTCGATGTGCAATGAACATGATCCTGATATGAACAATAAAGAAATGCCTATCCCAGTGTGTCTAAAGACAGATACCAACAGCATTTATTAAAGCCAAATACAGGTGCCATTTAAGATACACTGGTCAAACAGGAAGACTGCTTGGAAACAGAGTAGCAAAGTATATCCAAACCAGGATATATATATATCTCAAACAATAGATCACAAACTGTTCTTCCCCATGACACTCAACAGGAAAAGTGGAAAGGGATGATGAACGACACACTATGTGTGATAAGATCGCATCTTGCTGGCCACTTTTATTTCATATGGCATTTCCTAATTAATTTTAGGTTTAGTACACAACTGATCAAGATTAACCAAGAGATCTTTTTTTCCACAAAACACTATCTGCCAAACTCTGGTAATGACTGCTAGGGATTTTGCCTTCCAAATTGTTATTTATCACACACTGAATAAGCACCACCTGTCCACAGCTTCTCTTGTAATGCAGTTCCATTTGGCCATATCCTCAACCTCTGCTGGGAATAGCTAAGGAAATCCTGCAGTTCACGCTCATGAGTTTGCCTGTCAGCTCCACTTTCACAGGCTGCAGATTCTTTAATGCCTATTTTGTGTAGGTTGCTCCAAGGCTAGCTAGGGTGTTCTGTCAGAAGCCTAAGAAAAAGTCATTTGTTCTTTCCTATTAAGTGTGTTTATGCAGCTACTATCTTATCTGTAATTTATGTTCTGCCTTCTCCACCCTCCCCTGGACTGCTTTAGAAATGTTTCTCCTCAGCTCTCTGGTGCATAAAATTGTGAACTCTCAGCGCATCTGAACTTCCTCATTTCCTGGAATACCATGGTGAGCTGATATCAGCTGCAGGACCAGTTCTGCCTCCTAGCAAAGCAAACTGATGCTTGTTCTCAGAAATTAGACACCCCCCTCCCCTTTTCCCTCCCAGCTGATAGGTGTTTATTAAAATGATGAAAGCAGACACAATCAGTAGACAATTCTACATAGTATAAACCAAAGGATCATTTGGTTAACCTTCTACTTCCCTGGTGAGATCTTAAATCTGCAGACTCAAGACTCCCTTGACATTTACCACACTCAATTATAAAACAGTAAACACAGACAGAAAAAAAAAGAGACAAACCTTCAACTTACTTTTTATTATCCTCATGCTGAAGGTTGTTTGTCTTGATGTAGTCTGTGACAAGTTGCCTGACGTCTGAGATCAATAATGCTTCACCTTTACTGCAACAGAAAAACAAATCATTACTGGCAATGTCAAATAACAGAATGATATAAGTCATTGATGTAAAAACTTATAAAATACACATGTAAGTTACCTTGTCAATGCCGAAGTACATGGCCAGGTGGATAAGTGAGATGTTTGAGTCCTTGCATGGCGGCTATCTTTTTCTGCTTCAGCATTCTAAGTCCTTAAGGTTCATTGCTGCAGCTATTACCGGCCGCCATTTGTCAATGTGATTAGCCTTCTTTTATCAACTGGTGATTCCAAGTGTTTGTGGGACTGCATTTAGATCTTCTTCTTCGCATTTACTGGCTGAAAACTCTGGTTTAGGTTCTGGTTGTTCATTAACTTCTAGACTTGTTCCTGAAATTGAATTTTTGCTTGCACATCTGTTTGACAGATCTGTCTTATATGTAAGCAGATTGTTGGTTTGCCACCTCTCAGACCGATGCACTCTGACTTTGACAGAAACACCCCTAATTAGTCGACTTTACAACATGCTTGTAGGAGGGGGGAGAAGAAGGCAAGGCGGCAGGGAGTTCCCCCCCCCCCCCCCCCAATGGGGCCCCAGAACCCACACAGTGAGAACATACATTATCTCTCCACATTTCCTGGTCCACTCCTATTCATCTCTTTTGTGTAAGTTGTTTTTGTCTCTGTTATCTGCAATTCTCTCTATATTTGCCCCAATCATACAGTCTTTTAGCTCTCACAATGCCTGTAATTAGTGATCATTGAAATAGATTATGAATTTCAATAATACTTTGAATAATTTCAAAATTTCAGTAATTTCCACATCTCAAGGGCATTAATTCAGTTTGTTTAGTTGCTTGTTTTTTTCTTCAGGTTTCTGCACCATATAGCGGTACTAAGTATGCTTACACCAAACAGTATATATATTTATCATACAAAGCAACAACAAAATAAAACGGTATGTACAAGTAAAATACTCACCAAAGTCCTGCATCTTTAAATAAATCATGCGTAGCACCATTTACGCAATAAACATCAGTGAAGGTCAAAGGTTTGAATACTTCTTCCTCACTCTGACTAGGCTTTGTGGTCTCCTCCTCTACTACCTCCGGCACTTTCAAATCTCTCAGTCTAGAAAAATATGAGAGATTCAATTACCACATTTTTACAATGGTGTAAATCAAACAAAGGATGCAACTGGAAAGGATATTCCAGTCAACAAATGCCTGCAAAAGTCAGAGTTGTTGACCAAAAGGTTCAAATATTGCAGCCATAAACAGGTTAATGGGCACCGCACAATCAGATCTTTGAATGAATGCAGAAGAAGAAGAAGAAGAAGAAGAAAAATAAGAAATAAAGGATGTTATTTTCAGCTATATAAACAGAACCTAATATTAGGACATTTTAAAAAAAACAACAAAACCAAACAAAAAACCCAAATTACTTGTGTACCCTTTACAAGACATTGCAAACCAACTCTAGCATCTTTGACAGTTCATGGTTTTACAAGAACATTATATGTTCTGTAGTTTTTCACTACTTACTAAACAGTCAGTGTTAATACTACTGTTGAAATCAATGCAAACTAGGCCGCTGCCAAAGTAACCTGCAGCTGAATCAAAACAGTATGTTGGGAGTTATGAAACTGCATTCGTAGCCAATAAACAGCAATGTCTATCGATGAAAAATAAATAAATTCAAACAATTAAACCACAAAAAGAAAAGAAAAATATAGAATAATTTTTCAGCATTAGAAAAACTACACCTGGACATGCTTAACTCTTTAAAGACATATCGCCAGTATACTGGCAATTAAGTTTATCCCTTAAAGTATACTGGATCATGATAGAGAGACACAAATTTTGTCCATTTGTAGAGAAAATGAACTTTTATGAACAAGTTATTGAACAATAAGGATTAACAACAGGAAATCCTTTGCGACTTTATCGCGGTCAGTACATTATTTTTTAATTTAAAAAAAAGTTATTTAGAGGGATACAATTTTTACGTGATTTTTCTATACTAAATGATAAGGTAAAAGAACTAGAACTGTTCATTCTGCTCTATCGTTGATGAATCTCTGCCAGATGGTGACAACAGTCTTGATATTATGATTGATATCTAAGCCACAAATCTACTAGCGATAATTTAGTTTTGGATATGAAAATTTCACAAAATATTTCAATCAGATCAATGTTTCGATCAGCTATTTTCCTGATTTTCGGTTGTTTTAAAATTTGACATGTCACACAAAAATTATCATAACATCAAAGTATTTAAATTAATTGTTTCAAATAAAGACTAGCTGACTAGCTAAAACATAATTAAACAGAAAATGCATGAGCATCCTTAGAATTGGATAGCAATGTTGTTGAACAAGTTAAAAAATATGGTAAGCACGTTTTTTATGTCAATAATTTTCATATGTGCCTAACATCTTTGAATGTTGTGTGATTTTAATAATATTTTGTTGTTATACTGACACATTTTAATAGTTTAGATTTATTCTGCACTTATTTATCTTTAATTTGATATATGTCCTGATAACAAATACAAATAAGTCAGATCTGTAAATGAATGTGTATACAAAACTCAAGTTCTGGATCCAGACCAAAGTCCAGGAGTGGATGAACAGCCAGAACTTTCCACTGAAGTTTACAGCTGGTGAAAGCTAAGAAGAAAAAGAACAACCATGCTGAAACCACTACCTTCACAAGATGAGACTGTGATGAAAGAACAACTTTTGCTCAGTGCAGATTTCTGGTGAACCATGCAGTGCCATTTTTCAATTTGCTTTGACAATGCTCTAGCTAAAAAACCTCAACCCCCCCTTTAGTATATTTTGCCACAGCAAAGTTCCTGCTTCCTACCACACATTATCTAATCCAGCCCAGGGACCAGTAGGTTACTGTACACTTTTAAGTATTAGTAACTACACCAAAAGCACTGTTTTTAAAGTGTTTTGAAACAGCTTTTGACATATAATGAAACTAGGAATCCTTCCAAAAAGTAAATAGCTTCATCCTCTACTGTTTAGGTATCCTTGACAAAACTTGGCTGATAATAACTTGCAGGGCCATGAACTTGGCCTAGAACGTCCAGCCCCCATTGCTTCCAAAATATAGAATCATGAAATTGACCTGGAAAGTCCAGCTCTCATTGCTTCCAAAATATAGAATCATGAAATTGGCCTGGAAAGTCTAGCTCTCATTGCTTCCAAAATATAGAATCATGAAATTGGCATGGAAAGTCCAGCCCTCATCGCTTTCAAAGCATAGGGTCATGAACTTGGCATGGAAAGTCCAGCTCTCATTGGTTTAAAAACATAGGATCATGAAAATGGCCTGGAAAGTCCAGCTCTCATTGCTTTAAAAACTTAAGATCCTGAAACTGGCCTGGAAAATCCAGCTCTCATTGTTTTAAAAACATAGGATCATGAAACTGGCCTGGAATGTATGGCCCTCATTCCCTTTCAAAACATAGGATCATGAACTCACCCTGGAGCGTACGGCCCTCACTGCTCTCAAAACATAGATCAGAAACTTGGCCTGGAATGTATAGCCCACATCACTTTCAAAACATATTTATTACTCATTCTGGCTTTCCGAGCATTCTTTAGTCACACGACACAATTCAATAATTTACTAAAATAGACACCACAGAATAAATTACCCTAAGTGTGACTTGTAAATTTCTGTGATGGCATCTACACCCTTACTCTGCTGCTTCATAGTAATGTAGCCTTCACCAACTTTAGCTTGCAGAAACTTTGAGAACTGAGGAAGCAGATGAATGATGCAGCAGTTATATGGCTGTTAAAGGACTAGATTCTGTAGTTTAGTTCATATGTATTAGAGTCAGAATGAAAATGTACTGTCACATATACACCATACTAGCATTCCAGGTTTAGTCACCATAAGCAGGATTATTTATGTTCTTAACACTGGGAATGGTCTAGCAAAGCAATTTTTAACACTGGGAATGGCCTAGCAAAGCAATTTTTAACACTGGTAATGGTCTAGCAAAGCAATTTTTAACACTGGTAATGGTCTAGCAAAGCAATTTTTAACACTGGGAATGGCCTAGCAAAGTCATCTAGGTGGATCAAAGCAAAGCAATTTTTAACACTGGGAATGGCCTAGCAAAGTCATCTAGGTGGATCAAAGCAAAGCAATTTTTAACACTGGGAATGGTCTAGCAAAGCAATTTTTAACACTGGGAATGGTTTAGCAAGGCACAGAAGATAAGAGACACTTTGGGTAGGACAGTGCACTAGGTGAAAGAGTGGGCAAGAGACCAAGGCAATCAGAGCAATGTTCTGCAAAGGACCTGCTACATTATAAGTATATGTGAAATCACATAGAATGTATACTATGAAGTCTGTATCTGCATGAAAATAACTTCCGTTTTGCTCTTAGTCAGTTAATTGACAAATTGTCCTCACTGCACATTGAACAATCATAAGCGCTTGAATCCCATCTACAATATATCCATAAGTGTGCGGCGATTGATAATATCAGCAAAAATGTCAAATCCACTACACCTGCTAAACATATTTCAAGATGGTTTCAGCTTGAATGCAGTAAACCCAGCAGCTCTGGTGAAAATCTGAAATTTTACTCTTGTACGAAGTGGATAATATAAGATTATTGTGATAATTCCCTCACATTTGTAACCAAAGCATTGTCTATAGAAAAAAAAGGTAGAGCATGTTACTGTAACTCTTCAATGGTTTTCTGAGACTGCATGTAAAAAGAGTTACCATTGCATTACCAATCTACCAAAACAAATTAACTATATTAGCAGGAAGAAATATATCTGAATATTTCAAGAATTAACGCTACAGCACTTGGAATATTTCCACATGCTCCATCTTCTTCAGCAGCCAACTAAAGGGTTCCCATGTGTATGACATCTGCAGCCAAATAAAGATTTCCCATGTGTTATCAGTAGTAATCTTATTAAAAGTTCACTTGACATCCCCCCCCCCCATACACAAAACAATGTACCTTTTTAAAGGAAGACTTCTTAAGGTCCAGCTGTTTCCCAGGGCTATAAAAAGTGACATAAAAAAAAAAAAAGTTGCGATAAATATTGTAGTAAACAAGAATCCACTATAATTTTATTACCTTGCTGTTGTAGAAGTTTTTTTTAAAAATCTTTCTCTTACTTCTTTGCTTTGAATTTGTATTATTTGTTATTAAGGTTACCACATTACACTATCATCTGGAAACATGGAAAAGTGCCAAACAAGGTTGCCAAAAAAAAAAAAAATGCGTTGCCTCCATCTTCAGCAGAGAGTTCTAAAACCAGCAGGTGCAAATTTCAGTCTGATTGTATGTTCATCCTGTCTTTTCTATGAGTGTGAGTGTCAGTCAGCTATATGCTCTGTTGCATTCTCTTGCACTGTTCACATCCTTTAAAAGTGCCTTGACAATTTCTCTGCCTTGCATGGGCATTCAAAGTGAGCTCAAGAGAAAAAAAACCATTAATGAGATGAATGACGCCTTTGCTGTTACAACCAGCAGCTTTACAATGGAAATGATTTTAACAAGGGCACTAAAATGGCTGAGTTCTCAAGAGTTCACACACGCATGCATACTTAGTGACTCAGTGAACATGCTTAAGAAAATTCAGGCTAGATTGATCAGACAAGAATGGATAGGGGCATTGAGCACTTCACGAATGGCTGGCCTAACCTTTACTCTTGTGACTGGTCATGCAGGTATTTGAGCTATGTTATCAATGCCATGCGCAGCAGGCACTGTGAAGATGAATACGGCAAAGGACATGACTCTGTATCCCTGTCTAGACTGAGGGACATGGGGATGAAACTTGGAGTTGCAAGAAATGAACATTTCACAAGGGGGACAAGACTTTTAATTAATCAACAAAGAACAGGCGTCATCGGTCGTTTTACACTCTTTGAGCTTTTTAAGAGGAGATCAGAGCTTATATGGACCTATCCAGAGTACTGTGAAGATAATCCTCACTTATCACCAATCTGCCTTGTCATCCATCAATTCACCATCCAGTGGTGCAGAACCAACCAGTCTGCCTGCCTGTTGATTGCCTAACATGCCAGCACACCCTGGAGAAAAGATTCTAAGGATCGTTACTACCTATGACCTCTGAAGAAACGCATGCCTCAATGCACATTTCTTAACATGATTTGAAAGTAGGTTACAATCATATGTGTGTGCAGCTTCTTCTCCAAACAGCCGAAAGCCGCCTCCACATGTTTTTTCACACTACAGGTTGCGTGTAACATGCTATTCTTTGATGCACTAAATGTCATAATTACAAGGATTAAAGCCATCATTAATTCTGCAAGTCCAAGACAAATGAACATTCCAACCGACAGGGTTCCACAACAGTCACAGAGTAAATTCACTACTGGTTTTAAGATCTGATAGTCTGATAATGAGCCTTGCAAAAACATAATCAAGTGCTTTACTGGGTGGAGCATACAATTTTGTTTGTCCAGTTTGCAAATCCGGCAGGGTATCAATTTGTGTGCTGATACCTATCCATGCCATGACAGCGGTCTGTCAAGAACTGTCACTCTTTCACTCACTGCACTCCATTACCTCTTTCCATAAGTCGTTAAAGTTATCACATCTTCCATTTTATTCTCTTTCCAAAATGTGCCCAAGCCCAAATAATTATAGCTTTTTGTGACAAGTTGTTTCTGTTCCTGAGCTTTTTTTTTTCAAAACATTTAGATCACAAGTTCAGTCATGACAAATTACCAAAGATGACCAATGCTTGCTTAAAAGACAAAGAAAAACAATGAAGTACCTGAATGGCTGCATATAACCCCTTAAAAAATTTCCAGTCAACAATGGGAGGTCACTCTTCTTCACTCTAGATTTGATGGCACACAGAAAACAGAAGTTAAGAAGCTCGTCCATTTCAGCTAGAATAAAAAAAAAAAAAGAATTAAATTCAAGGTAAGCATTTCCTTTGTTTTGTGTTAAAAACTTTTGACTGTTAACTTCATTCAAAGGTCTAATTAATTCTCCAAGTCGATAGTCTTCGACAGAAGCTGTTAAAACGAATACAGAAAATATGGGGTATTCATTCTCTGAGGGAGGAGTGGCTGGCCAAACATTCAGAATGCTGGGCTTTCATACACAAAAGATGGACAACAGAAATATCAGACACTAAAAATACTTTACACGAAGTGAACAAAAGGGCTTATTCCAGAGATCTCTTCCTGACCTGACGCCGCGAGGCATTCCTGGAATAGAGATAAAAGAAAGAAGAAAAGACCAGGGCTCAATCTGCAAACTGGGTTGTGGCAAAATAAAACATTCTAGCTTGCACAGTTCAGGGCGATTGCACTAGTTATGCAATCCTAAATCACAGGCTTAAGGACCCCCCCCCCCCCCCCCTGAAAAAAAAAAAAAAAAAAATATTCTCTAAGGACATTTGAGTCTGTTGAACAAGAAATGCCTAAATCAAGAAGGAGACATAATAGCCTAGTCAGCATTATAAGATGAGCAAAATCATGGCCTGCTTACATCCTAATTCACCTCAAATATAGATGAGCCCAATCCAGTATCCTCCCAAATTTTAATGCATTCTACTCTTTCCGAACTTGGAAAGAGGCAGATGCTTTATACGGTGAGTTGCCGGGAACTAAAGGAGTTACATTTATTTCTTGAGTTAAAAATCTATTTCTTAAAAGAGACATGTAAATAATATTCATAATTACCAACTGGATCTTTATCTTCATCATCTGAATCTGTGTCCTCTTGTTCAACCTCATTACCTGCAGCCACAGCACCCTCTCTATTGTCATCTTTGTCTACAATCTATGAGGAAACATAATCATTTTTGTGTGGAGTAGTCATTTTGAAAGGCTATGCAATTCTGCTATGTTTGTATCTGCTGCTTAACATAGAGCAATTGGAAGGAGCAGGCATCACAACAGTTATCTCATTGCTCAGTTTTTGAAGGCTCAGACATACTTAGAGGATGGAGGATGATAGAGTCTCTAAGGATATCTTCTATGGTGAATTACAGATGGGTAGAAGATGTCAAGGTTGGCCTCAACTATGATACAAATAAATACATGTGCAAGCAGGAGAATGTTACAGGTAATGAGAAAGTGTTGCAAGGAGGGGGCAAAACCAGGAAGAGAATGAGAATAAAGTAGAAAATAACCTAAAACAGGTTTAGAGCTCAGCGTCCGATTTGATTTAAGAAACGACATCACAGCACTCGGGGCATTCCCATAAGCGCTCCGTCCCCATCCTCAGCAGCCAGCGAAGAGTTCCGGTACTAATGGTGCCTGTAGCATTCTGATTTAACGTCTGTCTTGCCTTTCCTCTGAGCCTCGAGCATCTGCCAGAACCTCTCGTCACCCCCAACTGCATCAATCTCACCAGACTGTGGTGATATATCTGCTCCTCCAAATTGTACACGCTCTCCCACAAGGCACTAACAACGTCTGCCCTATCATGTATCAGTATTCCACCAACTTGTGCAGAGCCAGCCAGTCTGCCTGCCTGTTCATTTCCCAACACACCGGCGTGACCAGGTGAAAAAAATCAAGACAATACTCCTCTCTCATGTCCTCCGCAGTGAAGCCAGCCACTCTGCACGAAGCATACCTGCTCTGATCTTCCTCAGCATGCTTTCTGAGTCAGTTACAGTCACGATGTGTGTGTGTGTGTTGTATTCTCTAGCCAGCGGAAAGCTGCAGTGACCGCCTCCACCTCCATTCTTGAGCTGGATGTTGTGGTATCATATGCTAGGCTCTCCTGCACCATACGTCGACCATTAACTTTTGCTAAGAAGCCCCAAGCACTTCTTTTGCCTCTTGACACTGAACCGTCTGTGTAAATGATCAAATCCTCTGAGCGAGCATTATCTTGAATTAATTGCCAAATTTCCACCTCTGTGGCACCTGCTGGCCAGTCTCTGCATTCCCGGCTCAGCGTGATTATGACTCTACACAAGTCTGACTGTTCAGGTGGCACTTTGACCCACTCCTCTCCTCGCCTAATGTTCTCAAGGATGCAAACCTGTCTGATTGTGTCTTCTGCCTGAGCCATCCATGACCTCCATCTTATCAGCTGCTGACCCTTAACTGCACCCAGAGCTTCAAGCAGAGGGTGGTCTGTGTCTGCAGCTACCCTGAGATATGCCTTCGCCTGCATCACCTTGTGCTTACCTGCAACCGTCGGCAAACTAAAGATGTATTGCATACACACCACTGGGGTGTCTCTGGTGCAACCCAGAATGACCCGCATAGCCGCGTTCTGTATGCGCTCTAGTTTGTCCATCTGACTCTTTGAGACGGTAAGCAGTCCCAGGCCACAATCCACCACTGACAGGATCAGGTGCTAATATAGTGTGAAAAGCATTCTCTGCTCTATGTCAATTGCAGCCACAGTCTTAAGTGCACTAAGTCCTTTTTGGCATCTCATCTCAATTTGCTCTCTCTGTTGGCATTTCTACCATCTAGACTTGGGACATTAGTTTCAACTATTCTGTTGTCCAGAGAACACCACAAAAAAGACACCTTGTACGGGTGGACGACAGCCCTCATTTCTGTACACCACTCAGTCACTTTGTCTACTGTCACTTATAGCTGCAGGGCTGTTTGTTCCCTCTCTTCCCCCTGCTTATATGCAAGTATATCATCCGCAAAAGTCAGTATCATTCCAACTCCTGGTGCTTCTAGGCTTGCTTTGTGGAGGTTTTCAAGCGCTGTGCTGCTCAGCATCCGAGAAGAAGCATAATGAATGTATGCAATTGCCCTGAAATCAAACGTTCTAATCAAAAATGACTTTTCTAAATGCCAGCGGGTCTTGCTAGTCCCACTCATCATCCCCACCAGCAGTTATTACCATGCCTTCCTCCAGCACAATATAACACTATCATCTGGAACAATGGAAGTGGCCAACAACACAATCTGCCACTGACATAGGTAGGTATGGCACATGGAGGAGACAAAGAAGTGAAGAAATACAGCTCTTATCACAAGATTTAAACATCAAAGAAGATTAGCTAATAAACAGTATTTTGGTCATATCAAGCACCATGGCAGATTGGACAAAAATAATAGCTGAAGGTATGGTACCAGGAAGGAGGGGCAGGGTCTGATTAACATGAAGATTGGCATATGATAAAAGTGACTCCTTGAATGAAAGTACACGAGGCGGGAGAGCTGGCGAGACAAAGTATTTTTCAGGAAAACCATGATGACAGCAATGTTCCGTAAAGGAACTGCTACAAGACGATGATATAGATATGAAAGCCACAGTAGTAAGGTGGCTAGCACACTTGCTTACCGGCCCTCTAGTTCAAATCCCAACTGAGGAAGATTTTAAATACTGTTGTACAGTTCCAGGATGACCCAGTCTAAAAGGACACCAGTTAATATGAACAGAGGACTGCTGTCAGTTGGCTGAATGTATATGCTCCACTGGGAGATGAAAGGCAGAAGAAGAGGAAAGCACTTAAATGACTGCAGACATTTGTAGCAAATACTACTGCAGATGCAACAAATACTACCTTATATAGATTCTAAAGGAGCTATAACAGTATTTTAGCTAGCATGCATGCCTGCCAGTCTGGTAGTCATGAGTTCCAATCCATATCAAGGCAGATTCTAAAAACAGATCTGGGCTCCAGGGTCATACAAACTGCCATTTAGAAGCTGCCATTACTTCTTGTATTTACCACTTCTGCAGAAAAGGCAGGAGGGTCGCATGGCTATTGCAGTCACCACAAACTGTGAATGTTAGGCCTTTATTTTTGTCCCAATACCTTGCCACGGATTCGAATGTGGGTCTCCCGCATGAGAGCCTAGCGTTCTGAACAATTCAGTCAGCTGCTCCTCTAAAGGCTCCTAGGTCAACCCAGTCTAAAATGGATACCAGGAAATGCCTAGGGAAATATGGATGTCCAATACAATTTTGAAGACATCATCTGCTTAGTGATGACTGGCCTTACAAATATATGTGGTCAGCACCATATGCCTAAAGCACCTCAAGGTATGAAAAAGGTCTTTTACTTACTTACACATTCCACACAAAGCCTTGCTAAAAACATAACAGAAACAAAGGAAAGAAGAAATGCTATCATTAGCATTATAGAATATTATTATTCACCTGCAAATTGTCAACATCAGGCAAGTCATTTTCCTTCAGTTTGCTGCTGACTTCTCCATTAGCACTGTCAACAGTGTCTGTCTGTTCAACAAGGTTCTCACTTTCAGTTTGTGACAGGACTTCTGGGATCACAGGAGGCTGTGATTTATCCCCAAACTCCCTGTATAAACATCCCAGGATTATAATTATGAGCTATAGGAAATGTGTACAATATATTTATTTAAAAGAAAAGCTTTGTTTTCAAGCAAAAGTTCACAAAATATAAATTACCATGACCTTCCCAACAAATCAATTCAAAAGTTAGCTTTCTTCATGTCTGATGAATCATCCAATCTCCTCATTACTCAGTCTTTCATCAAAGCCTAGTAGCTTAGTGTGCTCTGTTACAAAGACAGTTGTCCAGAATAAATCCTGGCGAGTGATGTGAATATTTTACTTCTTTGTGGGCCTCCATGGTTAAGTGCTTAAGCACTCAGCCTCGTGCTCTGAAGGTCAGGGTTCATTTCACAGACACATTATTCAGTTCACACAGAGATTCCTGGTAACCATCGCTGCCGATACAGGCGTTATGTATTGCTCTCGGCAGATGGCCAGTCATGCTGCAGGCAGAGACCACTATATACTATATGGGATAAACCAGCGCAATAAAAATATGCTAATTTCGCAGCCAGGTTGTAAAAGGCAAAATGCATTTACGTCTTCGGATAAACGTTAGTTAGTCAACAGATTATCACCATCGCTCATCAAACCATCCAGTTCATAAGTGCTCAGATCTCCTCAGCGTGTAGTGGCCCATGAGACCAGTTCTGTGTTGGTTTAGGATTCTCCTTTAGGCCCCTGTGTAGCGCTCTTGTCTGGCTTCACCCTTTTTGATGTTATGTTCGTGAAGTCTTGACAATGTTGGAGATTCACAATCATTACTTGATTAGTTTAATCGAGCTTCTTCTCTGAGGGCGTTCAGTATGTCAGCCCTTTCCATTGCTCATTCCTTTACCAGGTGAGCAACACTTGCAAGTCTGTCAGCTTGTTCATTGCCCATTACACCAGAATGCCCCAGAACAAACAAGAACCTGAAGCTTGTCAGCCTAGATCTATTCAGGGACTCCACACACTGTCTTCGTATGCATTCCTTCTCGATCTTCTTGAGCATATTCATTGAGTGGGTGAGGTATCATGCCCGGATGAAAATCAGTGTTTCTAGCCAGCTTATTGCTTTAGGTGTTGCCATGACCTCCACAGTCAAACTGCTTATTGTCAAGGCGAAGGCACGGCAGTCTTGTTTGACAGTTCTCCCTCCAAGCTGAGCCTTCCGATCTGGACCTCCGGTCAAATATGGCGATGCGATGTGTATGTTTTTTCTCACACAGATTATTTTCATCTAAACAATGGAAATTCCTTCAACTGGAAATAGATAATTGTGCCAGAATTTAGGCCAGAAGGACAGCTTCCCCAAGATTTTCACAGGTGCTGCGGAGTTTTCGTGCATCTGAGCTGAAACCTTAAATTTTTTTCATCAGCGTGTGGTTTTTTCCTCTCCATTTTACAATGGCTGATCAGCAAATGTGTAGTGAAACTTAAGGTTAAGAAACAAAGACACAAGAGAGGGAGGGGTCAAAAGAAGGGTAAACGTGTCGGTGCATGAAGAAGAAGGCTTAAATACATTCATCTTGGCCTTAATCGAACACGAATTATATATTAGAACTGTTCAAGCATAAAGCAGCCTGGGCCTGTCAGGGAAAAGCTCATCTACAGTGCCAACATCGTAGCCCTTCAAGAGACCCAGCTAGGCGCTGATACGCTGAACGTGGCCAGTTTCAACAACAGGTGATTCCTGGGAATGGCCATCCTTGTACGCAACAACACTGCAGCATCAGAGAAGGACATGTCATGTCTCGTTGGACAGTGACGCACTACAAATACAGGAAATACAAATTCTGATGGAGGATCTTTTTGTGTTGATCAATTTGCACGCCTGTTATGCGAAAGCAAACTCCCAAAAATGGCAGTGCCTCAGTGAGATTATTCAGAAATTTATGGGAGGGAATGAAGGTGAGAGCTCATAACGGGTGAGAAATGAAAAATCTTTCTTATGAGATGGCCTAACAGTTTACTGCCAAACAGACTACAAAACAAATTTATATGAGCTGGTCACAGATTCTTCTTCTCTTCCAGCTTTTAACTATGAATGGAACACAAGCCCTGATTCAACTCTCCCTGTGTGGGTATCTAGGCTGAATTGGAGGAAAGGGGGTGGAGAAGTGGAAAAGAGGGGGGGGGGAGGAGGTGGAATAGATCCACTGTTCTCCTAACTAGCATGTCGAAAAAGTCAACTAGTTAGGGGCATCTCCTTTGAAGTCAGAGTGAATCTGCCTGAGAGGCGAGGACCTACAGGCTTCCTAAAAATAAGCCAGATCTGTCAAACAGATGTGCACGCAAAACTTAAGTTCTGGAACAAGACCAAAGTCCAGAAGCGGATATGCAACCTGAACTTTCTATTGGTGTTTACAGTCAGTGAATGCTAAGAAGAAGAACAACAACAAACTCATTCCAACCCCTCTACCGATTACTGGTTGCATTCAGCAGATAAAACTGCTTATGGTTTGAGATAAGTAACTCGATTCTAGAAAAATAGCTACAGATGCCTTCTGTCATGGTCTGGTAGTAAAAGAGCTGGTTACTTTAAATCATTTTGTCATGTTTTATACACAACTTTCTGTATTTTTACCACTTCTGCAGTGTACATTGGGGGGGGGGGGGGGGGGGGGGGGGTGGGGGGGGGGGGGGGGGGGGGGGGGGGGGGGGGGGGGGGGGGGGGGGGCAAGGGGCTCTCTGAGCCTGAGAATTTGCAGCTGCAAAACTGATGTTGTCAGTGGTCACCAACTGTACAGGCTAGAATTTAATTCCTGCCTCCAGGAGAAAAAACAAACCGCTGTAATACAAAAACACACAAATATATATATATATATATACACATACACACAAATGTCCACTACTTGATATTCTTTTAGCAGTATCTGCCACAGCACCACCATCATGCTTATAGTTGCTTTTGTGTTGTTTGTTGTTCTTGTTTATCCACTACAAGTGATGATGACCAATCCTTTCATATGCTAACAAAAGGTAGGTTTATGAGTGCACATATGGCTGGTAAGGCCAATCCTAGCAAGGAAAATTTGTGCATAGTGCATAGTGTGAGCATGGGATTTTGGCCATATTCATTTGGTGAACTGCTCATTGTCTTTTCTGATTTGTCTTTTTTTTTTTAAACTGCTGCTATTATTATGGCTGTACCACACGCTGCCGCTCCCCAATGAAGAGATGAGTGTCTGAATGAGTATTTATAATTACAGTCAGTGTGTTGTTTGTCATGGCTTTCCAGAGTTCTCTGTTGCACGTACTGTCAATAATTTATGAAAGAGATGTTCTTACATGCCATGAAGCCAAACTGTCTACCTTCTTTTCTGCATCTCTTCCTCTCCTCTAATGTTTCTATCTGTTGTCTGTTAAATCAGAAGTAGTATTCTATTACTGTTCAATAAATTGTCACAACTCTTGTTAACTAAATCTAACATGGGGTTTTTGATCACCGTGGCCAACTCACTAACAAATACCTGCAAGTGATAGAATTGCAGTAAAGTGAAGGAAGGTCTTGATTTCTGTAAAAATAATCTTACCAAAGGGCATCTCCATAAATATGTAAGACAGAAACACCTTTGCCTCTCATTGCTGACATGTACATATCCTCCCCACTCAGCAAAGCCTTACCAAGTGCAACCGGTGATCTATATCAGACACAGCAAAACACAAATATATGCACTTTAACATCACACATTTTAAATGCTCGTGTGTTAAACAGCATACAATAATTTGTGGGATCAATAAATAATGTTTTGATTCTTTCAGTAGCAGTGAATAATTACTGTAATTGCTCTATTCAGAAAATGTCTAAATAAAAGCTGCTAGAGATTGTTTCTGAAGAAGTACAATAACAACACTATGGGACAAACAGGGTAGGCAAACAGTTTGGATAGTTCTACAATAGCAAACAGTTTGGATAGTTCTACAATAGCAAACAGTTTGGATAGTTCTACAATAGCAAACAGTTTGGATAGTTCTACAATAGCAAACAGTTTGGATAGTTCTACAATAGCAAACAGTTTGGATAGTTCTACAATAGCAAACAGTTTGGATAATTCTACAATAGCAAACAGTTTGGAAAGTTCTACAATAGCAAACAGTTTGGATAGTTCTACAATAGCAGATAGTAAGAAAAGTATACTTTCTCTGGATTAAAGAATAAACAAATCAAGTACTGTATGGAAGTTAAAGGCAAGCATTTCAAATTCTCTGAACTAGGTTTTATCTTGTATGATTTGGTCTTTTTATGCAACCTGGAGGACCCAAATGAGACCCACAACATTCAGTGCAAGGCAAATAAATAGATGATCCTTAGGCTGATGTATTCTTCGCCAGAGATGTTATCTGAGCTGCCTAACTAACTTAGTTCTTGAGAGGTCTTCTCTTGTTCTTCTCTTTCTCTTTTACCACTCTGGGTGTCAAGGGAGATATAAGGTTCTATGTATGTAGAACATACATACAACATGCTGTTGTAGAGTTTCTCTGATGTTATCGTTCCATCTTGGTCTACCTTATGCTCCTCGTATTTTTCCAATTTTGGTGTATGCACTGCCAATTCTCCAGTCCTATGTGCTCTCATAGCCAATGGATCTTCAATATCCTGTATCCATCTCCATTGAGCTTTGCTGCTGCCTTGTTTTATGTAAGCGGTACCCTCCACCACCACGGTGTTTAACATGGTCTAAATACCTCAGCTTTTGTGGCATGATGCTGTTTATTAGCTAATTCTCCTTCATGTTCAGATGAAGTCGGATGTTGTTGGTGTTCTTCTTAGTCCTTGATATTCTAGAAATTTTTCTGTAACATTTCAGTTCAAAAATGAAGATGACGCCTACTGTAAACTGAAGCATACAAGTTGATCTTTGTGTGCACATTCATTTTACACAAATGCTGGTTCCCTGCCTCTCAAGCAGATGCACTTTGACTTTGAAGGAAACTTCCAATTAGTCAACTCTTACAACATGCTTTTTAGGGAGGCAGTGAGTCTATCCCCCCCCCCCCACCACCACACACAAAAATGGGGTCCCGGAACCCACACAGGGTTGTGACTTAGTGTATCACCTGCTGCATACCATGTGTGCTGTAGTGTTAACAGAATACTGAATTTGTATTACTATTTCATTATTTGGTATTTAGAGGGGTTTGTTTATGGCGACCTTCTGGAGGTACAGTAAATAATGAACAACGACTGTTGGGAGTGCTGTCCCACTTTTCTACAACTAGGCAGTAAATGTTTACATTTCAGACCTGCCGGATAAATCGACCCCTAGTTTTGGAAAGACGGTTGAGGCTTGAAAACTCCAATTATATGCCACAACTTATTAACTCTTTCTCTACTAGCCGATGATTACTTGAACTCATACCAGGCAAGATCTAGTTTAAGGCAGCCAATGTTTGAGTCCAAAAAGGATAAAATAACACTATTGGCAGAAATAATAAAACAAAGAATTTAAGTAAGAGTTCATTATCATTATGTACTGTAAACATGACTTCACAGTGACCAGGTGACAAACTCCTTAACTCTTTGAGTCCCAGGGGGTTTAGCACCACAGGCCCAGGGGGTAGTAAAGAAAGTAATAAAATCGGCGCATCATGAGTTCATTGGGCTTCTAGGTAGTTAAGGTCCGGGTTCACTCCTGGGGGTAGGCAGAAAAGCCACATTTCTCCCAGATTTATAATTTCTGGATAGAAGAAAAAAATCATCTTATCCCTGTGGCTAAGCCATGCAGGTTTTTATCGCTTTGTCTTCCACTTGCTCTATTTCTATCAACTTTGCCTGTCACTACCAAGTTCTCAGGTCCATTCCTTCTCACAGGTTCCAAACACACAGACTGTCTAGTCTAGTTAGATAGCAGTTAATATAACAGACATCTGCTATAAAAGAGAGTCAGAAATGTGTGCTCTCTCTGGACTATCCGATGAACATATGTGAACTGCATGCTACCTAAAAAATTAGGACAGGCTAACAATATATCCAAATATTATACTCAGATGACATCAAACTGAAATATGGGGACTGAGGTCAAAGGCTGAACCCAGTAGTTCATAAGTTCAGATATGCAATAACCTAAGGTTAAATGTCACACTCACTTGTTGCCAGCAAGGGTCACACAAACCAGGTCACCCTTCTGGAGATTGCCAAACATTTTTGGTGATGGCTCTTTGTCTGGGACAACTCCAGGCAGCATGAGATCTGCAAAAGCAATGATATGTTAACATTAATAAGAACATACATCAAAGCTAGAATCTTGATGACAAAGAAGACATTTACAGAAATCCTTACATAGTCTAGGCCTAGACTAATCAGGTGGTCGTTTCTCTTTGCTACAATAATTGTGAAAACCCTCTGGCAACCAAAGTTAGGAGACATTATGACTGTAATGGTCAAAACAAATGTCAAGAGTGTTAAGCACATGACATCACAGTGCACACAAACACAGTGATGTCGTCCTGACAGTTTAAAGATGTTTTTCTAACTTTTGACATGCATCAGATAAGACCAGCATTGTTATCTGTTTTCCGATCAGCGAAGGGGTGAAGCTTACATAAATTTATCATTAAGGTTTTCATTTAAGGGCCCCCTGATTAAAAAAAAAAAAAAAGCAAGAAAGTCTAGAAAATACTGACAGAAATTGTGCTGGCATGTGTCAATGAAAACTTACCAGCTCCTTTTTGAAGTTTCTCAAAAACAGGCGGCCATGTTCTAAAGGCAGGTAGCATGTCTGGATATTGCCACATTGTGTATACTGCGAACAAAGAAAATCCTTGTTTAATTAAAGCTAATACAATATTTAAAGCATTAAAATTAGAGCACAAAATAAATTATGAATAGACCAATTTACTGAAGATACCAATAACAGCTCAAGCAGACTAACACTGGAAACAAAAAGAATTAAAGTAACAGATCAATTAACTTATTTAGGCAGTAATCTTGATGGTCAATGAAACAAAGAAAGAAATTCTGATACATACTGGCAAGGTATCAGCAGCTTTTAAAAGCTTACACAAAATATGAAATTCAAAATAATATAGTTTTAGAACCACGTTACATATTTTCAATTCTAATGTTATTTCAGTTCCAATATATGTCAGTGACAGTTAGAGAACCAAGGAAGATATGGAATTAAATGTTAAATGCATTTAAAAACTATGCTTGAGAAAAGTCATGAACATAAAATGGGATGCATTCAAGATGGGTGAAGAAATAAGAGAAAAACCACTCGTATCAACAGTTATAAGACAGAGAAGATGTCTGGGCAACCACTCGTATCAACAGTTATAAGACAGAGAAGATGTCTGGGCAACCACTCGTATCAACAGTTATAAGACTGAGAAGATGTCTGGGCAACCACTCGTATCAACAGTTATAAGACAGAGAAGATGGGGCTATGTTGGACACATTCTGAGAAAATACGAACAGAGAATCACTGATCAGGCACTGAAATGGGAAAGTGAGGGACTGAGGAGACGAGGATGTCCCAAAACCTAAAGTGAACATTGATGATAGTGGCCAAAGGTGCCGGACTGGATTCTACCCATGACGGAAGTGATTGCACAGGACAGAACAGAATGGAGGAACAGACTGCGAGCATTATGTGACATGCACAATAGAAAATGAATGAATATAAGTTTGCTTAAGGCAAAAATGAACAAGAACACAAATTTGTGTATCTTTAAAGGATGAATTCATTCAGCACTGGGCTAGTCACTAAAAATTTACAACTTTTTCTGTCTTCTTCATTTTGTAAAACATTTTTAGACTATATCTTGTTTTGCTGTTGCTCACAAAGGAATTGTATTACATTCAGCTTAATTAATTCTTCACATTATATCTTCTCTCTTTTATAGATCTTACCATACTAGAGCAACAAAGAAAAAGAAAATTTCTCAATGCTCTAAAAGACATTTTTATTCTGGCTAGGTTTTAGTTTTTCCCCCATCCTCAATGGTCAATATTCGCTATGCATCTCTTCCAGCTTGGGTCAGGAATCAGTGCAGCCAGATTTAAATGATTTCTCACAATATTTTCTCAAGCTGCTGCTATGACCTAAACTATTTTTCCAGGTATTGGCTACCAAAGCTGTCTTCCGTCTAGTTGAGTTGAGTCAAGGATGACATCACAGCACTCAGGGCATTCCCATGTGCGCCCCGTCCCCATCCTCAGCACCCAGTGCAGAGTTCCAATACTGATGGTACCGGTCACAATCTGGTTATATGTCCGTCTTGCCTTTCCTCTGAGTGTAGTCAGCCGGCCAGACCCTCTGGTTACACCCAGGTGCCTCATTCTCCCGAGGCCATAATAATAGTCTTTCTCTAGTGATTCCCTTGCTTGTTCCAAGGGCGTTGACCACATCTGTCTTGTCATGTATTAATTCACCACCCATTGGTGCAGATCCAGCCAATCTTTCTGCTTGTTCATTACCTACTACACCAGCATAGCCTGGAGAAAAGATCCAAAGTATGCTCAATACCCATGGCCTTCCCAGTGAAGCTTGCCACTCTGCTCAAAGCATCTTTGTCTTCACCTTTCTCAGCATGCTTTCAGAGTCTGTTACAATTACGACATGTGTATGTATTTTGTTCTCTAACCACCGGAGAGCTGCAGTTATTGCCTCCACATCCAAACTCATGCTAGATGTTGTATGCTAGGCTATCTTACACTAAAGATTTTCCACTGGTTTTCACTATGAACCCCCAGGCACATCGCTTTCCTCTCAACACCAAACCTTCTGTATAGATAATCAGATCACCTGGACGTTAATCAACTGTTGGACTTCCACGTCGTAGCACTCGCTGGCCAGTCTCTGCCAAATGTGACCATAACCCTACACAGGTCAGACTTTTCCTCTGGTACTCTGACCCCTCTCTTCACCCAATGTTCTCCAGCATGCATACTTGTCTTATTGTGTCTTCTGCTTGAGCCATCCACAATTTTCCCCTTTTCAGCCTCTGACCATTACCTGCAGCCAAAGCTTCATACAGAGGGTGTTCTTTGTATGCAGCTACTCTGAGGTATGACTTAGCCTGCAGCACCTTTAGCCTATCTGCAATAGTCGGCAATGCAAGGATGTATCGCATGCACACAATCGGGGTGTCTCTTGTACATCCCAGGATTACCCCCACAGCTGCATTCTGTGTGCGCTCCAGTTTCTCTAGTTGACTCTTCGAGACAGTGAGTAACCCCAATCCATAATCAATCACTAAGTGCTGGTAAAGTGTGAACCGCATTCTCTACTCTATGTCCATTGCTGTCATAATCTTTAGTGTCTTAAGACCTTTTTGACCCTTTGTCACAACCCCCTCTATGTGATCCTTGAAAGACAAACTTCTGTCAAAAGTGATTTCCAGTACCACAGTCAGCGGTCTTTTTTGATGTCCCTGCCATTTATTTTGAGTCTGGGAACCTCAGCTCTAACAATTCAGTTGTCCAAACAACACCACAGGACGGCTGCCTTATCTGGGTTGATTACAACACTCATCTGTGTATACCAGATGATCACTTTTACTGTCACCTGTAACTCTTGAGCTATTTGATCCCTAACTCTCCATCTATTGGCTACCTACGCTGTCTTTCTATCTACTAGCTACCTAAGCTGTTGGTCAACCCATTGGCAAGCCAATATGTCTTTACATCTACTGAAATGTTAATCTTACTATCCAATCTGCTTTCAAAGTCATCCATTAAGAGAATTTAACCAAGTTAAAGTTACTGAATTCCTGTTCTGTTCATTAACACTATCATTCACAAAGGAATTAAGGTAAAAACTGATGAAAATAGGTAAATTGTGAAAGTGTAAAAATGGGAAAAAAATAGGCAAATTATCGAAAACTTTCTACCTGTAGGGTAGAACTTCCTAAACAGTTCGTAAAAGATAGGATTCTTCGCTACTGAGAAAAGCACAATATTGTCATCTCCATGAGTGTTGATCTTTGTTAGAGTCATCTCCTCTTTGTTTGGAATCAGTTTTGTCACATCATCTTCGGAGAGTTTCGGGTATTGCTGTAAAATGTCTGCCCGCAGTTTTTTTCTGTCAATTTAAAATAAAAATAATGTTTAAAAAGCAAAATATATTAAATTTGATATTAAAGTCGAGAGGATCGACTTCATTGAACCCAGTTTTATCTCATATGGCTCAGTCTCTCTGCAGAATGGCTAGCTGCCTGCCCACAGCATTGCACAAAACACGAGCTAGGTGACTCTAGTGACGAACCCCACTGGTCTCCTAAAAACTGCACCTATGAACCGAAAGATGCAGCCATGAAGCTAACCCATAACCTCAGAGCACAAGGCAAATGGCTTGACATCTTCGCCACGGAGACTCCCTATTTTGATATATATTTGATACTAACATTTTCTTTTATTAACAAATGGATATCAGAGAGAAAGGCTTCATTTGTTACTGAAGAATGTTGAATGCTGAATTAAGAATCAACATCACAGCACTCGGGACACTCCCATAAGCGCTCTGTCCCCATCTACAGCAGCAAGCAAGGAGTTAAAATTCCGATGGTACCAGTAACAGTTTGACTGTATATCCGTCTCACCCCTCCCCCGAATGTCGAGCGTCGGCCAGATCCCCTTGTAACTCCTCACAGTGCCATTCTCCTTAGATCATAATGATCTATCTGTTCCTCCGCACTGTTCACTCGCTCCCAAAGGGCCCTCACAACATCCAGCTTGTCATACATCAGTTCACCACCAAGTGGTGCAGAACCAGCCAGTCTATCTGCCTACTCATTTCCAAACACACTGGCATGACCTGGAGAAAATATCCAAAGGATGCTAACTACCCGGGACCTCTGAAGTGATGCTTGCCACTCTGCATGGAGCATGCCTGTCTCCACATTTCTCAGCATGCTCTGTGAGTCAGTTACAATGACGACATGTGTGTACAGCTGATTCTCAAGCCAACAGAAGGCAGCAGTGACTGCCTCCACCTCCATTCTCAAACTAGACATTGTGATATCATATGCCAGGCTTTGTTGCGCCAAGCGACGTCCATTCGCATTTGCTATGAACCCCCATGCACTTCGTCTGCCCCTCACCACGGAGCCATCTGTATATACAATCACATCACTTCGGCGGGAATTGCCATGAATCATTTGTTGAACTTCTGATTCTGCAGCACTAGCTGGCCAGTCCCTGCACTCACTCCCAAAGTGATTAGAACCCTACACAAGTCTGAAACTTGATCGGACACTCTGACCCACTTCTCTCCTCACCTAAATTTATCAAGCCTGCACACATGTCCAATTGTGACTTCAGCTTGCGCCATCCAAGACTTTCCTTTTTTTTTAGTCTGTGACCCTTAGCTCTGTGACCATGGCTTCATGCATGAGGTGCCTCTTGTCCGCAGCTACTCTGAGATATGACTTTGCTTGCAGAACTTTTTTTTTTGTTGTTACTGAAGAAGGGGACGGAACTCATGTAAAAATGACTAGAAAAAAAAAAAGGGGGGGGGGGTATTTTAGTGAGGATTTAAGGCCGCATGTCTAGTGCTGTGACCATGAACTGTGCAGGTTAGGATTTTATTTTTTACCCTAAAACAAATATCTACTTTACTGAGGATTCGAACCTGTGTCTGCGGCACGAGAGTCCAGCATTCTTAAATGTTTGGCCAGCCGCACTTCTGTGCTGTCAGTACTGAACAAAATTCTTTAGAAATTTCCTACTGATATTTTCACAACACTGAACAACTGAACAGCAGCTATGTACCTTTTGGTTACCGATTTCAGACTGTAACTATTGAAAATTATTACCATATCTTAGTCAGCAAAAAGCAGTTTAATGTAAGATAACTAACACTGTCCTTACAGTCTGCATTCATCACTCTTTCAGACAGTGTAGGACAAAAGGGGTCTTGCGTCTAAAGATTAAGGGGCACATGGCTAGTACAGATGCCATGATGTACACAGTCTTGGATTCAATTTTGCCCTGACATAAAAATATCATTATCTTACCCTGAACCTATGTTTCCCAAATGATAGTCTAGTACTCTAACTATTCTTCTTCTTCTCCAGATGCAAGTCCTTGTTGTTCGCCCATTTAGACTTTGGCTTTGTGCCAGGGGAGTTTTGCATGTGCATCCATTTTACTGGCATATATGTGTGCAGTTGGTTGTTCCTTGTCACTTGGGCAGATGCATTCTGACTTCGAAGGAAGCCTCCAGTCAGTCGACTCTTCAACATTCTTGTTGGGAAGGCAGTGGGTCTATTCTTGTTTTCCCCACGATGGGGCCTCTGAACCCATACAGAGATTCTAACTATTTACCCAGCCACTCCTAATTGTTTACGGTTAGCAGAATTACAAATATTCTGAATTAAACCAGTTTACCTTACCTGTCTGAGGTTTTCACAGATGTCTGCGCCTTGACTCTAAAAGGTTTCAAGAACATGCTGCAGTTTTCAGGCTTCCACTTTGACTCTCAAGACTGTCTGGTGATAGCAGTAACAGTAATATCAACAAGCAAAACGTATACATCATAATGTGGCACAGGCAAATGTCATGTCAGCAACAATGGTAGCTCAGAGAACATATATCTTGCCTGCTGACCTAAAGTTTTGTGTTCAAATTCCTTTTCAGACATTTTTTTATTCTGTGGAACTGGGCTTCGAGGTAAACCCAGCTTAAAATAGGTGGCAAGAATCTGTGTGGCAGGCGTAGTACTGACCACATTCCTCACAGAGTGCTGCATGTTTAAAACATATGAGGGAAGCACAATGTCCAGTATGCTTCACGGTGTGAATAGGTGTCTTTCTCTAGTTGAAATATTCACACTTTTACCCCATGAATGATAAAATAAAGGGTCATGAACCCATGAAAATTGGCTGAAATAAATCCTGGAATTCTTTTTTTATTTTTACACAGGTCACTAATTGTTTTAAAAATTTATATTTTTTTCGTGAAATATATTTTTAAAAAAAAAACATGAACAAGGTTAAGCATTAAATGAAATACATTTACCATGACCTAAATACATAATGTATCTGGTTATGCATGCTGTACCCTGTGACCTCTATCACTATGAGCTTAATTTGACACTCAACTTAACTTTAAAAAGCCATTAGGGTCATGAGGGGAACCTCCTCCCCCCTCCCAATGCTATTTTAGTTACTATATTCATATTCTTGCCTACTAAACATTGCACTGGAGCCCACAGTATCAATGGAATTTAACTACACTTTTTGAGAACAGGTCACTGCAGACAGGCTGATATACAGGCATTTATGAGGGAGTGTCACAACTGAAAGTGACTAGATATCATCTTCTTGGACTGACAGGGTCAAGTCACATCAGGACTTATTTAGCCATAAATGACTGGAAATATTTTGTGCACAGACTGGACAGATTTTGTGTACATGGCACTCCATCCTTAATGTGGATCTGTAACATTCATAAATTGTCTAGATTTTTTCACTGAGACAAGCCGGTATGTTGGGAAATGAACAGGCGGACAGACTGGCGGGCTCTGCACAACTTGGTGGAATTCTAATGCATGATGAGGCAGACATGGTTAGTGCCTTGTGGGAGAGCGTGTACAGTTCAGAGGAGCAGATGGATCACCAGTCTGGTGAGACTGATGCAGGTGGGAGTGACGAGAGGTTCTGACAGATACTCGAGGCTCAGAGGAAAGGCAAGACAGATGTTTAATCAGAATGCTACTGGCACTATTAGTATTGAAACTCATCTCTGGCTGCTGAAGATGGGGACAGAGCGCTTATGGGAATGCCCCGAGCGCTGTGATGTCGGTTCTTGAATCAAATCAAAATCCATAAGCTTAGTTTAAAATTAATTTGATAAAATTAGTTTACCTTTTGCAACCTCTCAAAATAATTATACAGTAAATCTTCTCTACTATGAGGAAGAAACTTTTCTATTTTAGTCACAATTCGGCTAGTGACAGCAACTAATCATTGCCTACAAAGTCAACTAAGCAAGTAAGTAACAAACTGTCTGTGAAGTGAAAGTGGTAATATAATCCCATGACAGATACAATCGCAATGTTTTTGATACATTTCATATTCACCATGGGGCTGGTCAATTTAAATTATATTTTACCATTCTTCCTTAATTGCCAGACCAGCTTACAATATGAAAGAAGCAAATCCAAACTTGGCAAGCTAAGGCTTGTGAGTGAAACCACCTGGTTAAACAAACAGGGAATTGGTTTTATTTCCCTGACAGGTGACACATCAGGACAACTTCCTGTAATCTGAATAATAAAACATCAGTTGAATCTGCCAGTCTCTGGAGATTTAACAGGAGACTTCCAAGGGGGTAATAACTACACTGGGCTTGCTTACTCTATTGGAGGATAAAGGGCTCAAGAAGAAAAAATAACTACAATAGGGCTCCCCAAAAAATTACATTGAAAAACATTATGTTTCTTTTTCATTTATTCTAATTATTTGGTTTGCCTCAGAGAAACCTTTTGCAGTGTCATTAATTAGTCAAATGAATTGAGGCAAACACTAATTTGGTTGTTTCCACAAACAATAAAAATAAACATACAAGTCTGCATAGGCAAAATATTATGCTCCCCCCCCCCCCCCCCCACCTCCCTAGACAAAATCTAAAGTAAGGTTGCCGCAACATGAACTAGCCTACATACATAAAATACACAACCACAATGGAACAGGAGTAGAGACCTGATGGACACCACTGATTAATAAAATAAAATGTTAAAATTTTGGAATGCAACACTGGAGGAGATTTAAAGAAAAAATCATTTAATAACAGAGACCCGGTCTCTTCTGCTTATTCCAGCTGTAATCTCTGATAAAAAGTTGTGGTTGTTCATCCACTTCTGGATTTTGGTCTTGATCCAGAACTTGAGTTTTCCGTGCATATGTTTTATAGATCTGGCGTATTTGTTTGCAGACTGTTGTTCCATGCCTCTCAGGCAGATATACTCTGACTTTAAAGTAAATACCCCTAATTAGTCGCCTTTTATGACAGACCTTGCGCGGAAAAGGTCTTTACTTTCCTTCAGAGGTTTACTGTTACTTCACGCATGAACAAAATGATGTAAGAAAGGAGGGAGACTTGAAAGGCAGAATGTTAGTCGGGCCTGTGTGCCTAATTGTTACCCCTTTGAAAATAAAGTTTGTTTGTTAGTTCCACCAAGAGGAGCCCTGGAACCCAAACAGGGATGATACCTATGAGTATAAGCAGGGCTTTTCCCCCTGGTTGTATACAGCAGAGCAGCTGCTATTTCTAGGTATCAATGTTTTCAACAGTACTGTAACAGTTTTTTAACAGTTACAACAATACTGTAACATACACTTTTTTGTGTGAGTATCAGTAACTTTTTACTTTTTTGGTGAGTACACGCAACTGTTTATTTTTAACTAGAAAAGAAAAAGCCTTGCCTATTTGTATTTCCCTCACGTCACAGTGGAAAAAAATAAGTGAGATGGCTTGGTGACTGGTATTTAATGATGCCCAACTACCTGCACTGATTTTATTTTTCATTTTGTTTTAACATTAACAAAAATTTTGTGTTAAAATCATTTGATGGTTAAATCACTGGACTGGAGAGATTAAAACAGACCCAGATTGAGGAAGTGGACCAATATGTTCACTGGCCTGTAATTTTTGCTCCTTGAGTCAGCTTTGGAGACACTTCAGCTCAGATCAAATCTTCTAGTCCAGTCTATTCAATCTGACACCTACAGCTACAACAGAGCTTCCACCTGGAACCCTGGTAGGGATTTCAGTCAGCACTGACTACCAGCTGGGGTATACTGAGTCAGTTGACGAGAGAAGACACCTGTTCCCTTTCTGGACCGTGAGAAAGGATTTTAACTGTTTAATCCTAGGAAATGCCTGGTATGTGGGTGACTGACAGGCTGAGACTTTATTTTATCTGATAACTTTCTTTAAAATAAGTTAAGTAAGTTTTACCCCACCAGAACAATGAACATCACAGAGTGATAAACATCCAATGACATAAAGTGCCACCATGTGGATAAGGATCGCCCGTGAGAGGTCCCAGAAACCCTGTTTAACAGTTGGGTTATATTAGTAGGGCTCCGGCAACATCTGGGGTGGGGCTTCAAAATAATGAAAAATTAATCCCACAAAGGACGATATTTTATTCCCTTCATAAATATGATATTGTGTTCTACAACATTCAGTCAGAATCAATACAGAATATACAACAAAATTTGTTTACTTAACTTGTAATTACTTAAATAATAATTATATTTTACAGTATATAATTCGTGTCACTTTGTATTACACTGATTAAGTAAACTACAAGTAAATGAGTTTTTATTATGTATTTCTTCGCTTTGTGTGAGTGTGTGTGAACTGTGTGTGCATCTTCGATCTCCCGAAAAAGCTTATTACGAAACGAGTTAAGGGACCTTGAAATAAAGGTATGTGGGAGTCACGAGACCGAATCTGCTTAAAGATCAGATGTAATGAAAATACAGCATATAATAATACAACACATACGTATTTAATGGACAAGTTGACTACAATAATTCACGGTTGTTGTTAGTAAAATCGCACATTGAACAACCGGGCAAAGGGACACTACTCTAAACATTTAATGGTTGTTTATAGAGGCACATGTAAAACGTTGATTTTGTTGAGCCCTTGATCTGTCAGCGTCTGTGGCTTATCGGGCTGCGAACGCGGTTTGTAATTCTAAGATACCCTGTTCTCTTCCTTTCTTCATCGCGTTTACTGGCTGTAAACTCCGGCGGAAAATTGTGGTTGTTTGTTCACCTCTGGACTTGTATTCTTGTTCCAGAACCTGAGTGTTGCGTGCACATCCATTTAACAAATCTGACTTTATTGTATGCGGTTTGTTAGTTCCTTGCCTCTCAAGCAGATGCACTCCGACTTCGAAGGAAGCCCCCAATTAATCGACTCTTACGACATGCTTGTTGGGGAGACAGTGGACCTGTTCTTGTTTCCCCCACGTGGCGCGGTGATTTCGGTCATAGGAGTAAGGAAAAGTTAAGTCTGGTGTGATGTGTATAAGGAGATACACCGTACCTCACTCGGGCGCCAGTCCTTCACTGTTCTGGTTTTACGGAACCTCATGCAAGACTCTTACTGCACGTCCCCGTCGTGCGCCACAAATAATGTCTCAAATGAGCATTAACAGAGTTGGCAGGGGATCTCGGAGCTGGCGGCCCCCCGAGGTGTAGTGTCCTTTCTGTAGTGTCCCTTATCAGCCTGCTCCCAAACGCATGGGTGAAAAGTCTATCAAAACTCATTCGGAAAATGAGTAAAGTCTGGTTGCCATGTACCACCACATGACAACTCTCGGTTAAAAGTCTACCTACGTACACCCTCTGTCAATCCTCAGCGTCGTCCTCACCGCGCTGAGGTACACCACGACAGCAATTTTTCATCTGCTGGCTAGGTAATAATGTC